AAAAGTCGCTCCATTTTTTCCTGACTAGAGAGAATTACGTTCGTCATCAGACATTTACCTAACTAATGCTTAAGGATTGTGTATGTGCCTGCTGTAGGGGTGTGGTGCCACGCTTAGTTGCGGTTCAGGCCGTGCCAGCCACCTATGCTCTCCCCCACCTCCGGTCATTTTGACTCTGTCCTGACACCGGGTCCAGATGGGGAGTGGAGAAGAGAGAGTGCGGCAGATGCTGTACAAGTCTGCTATCACGTTAAACTAATTTACGCACAAGTCACCATGCCTGCTGCACCTATCTGTGTAGCCCACTGTGGACATCGTCGGAATCGACGGTCGAACTGTCGTCTGCTATGCTATGATCCAACAAACAATGCCCTTCACAGCCTGGTGTGCGCTGGCAGTTCCATGGCACCTGATTTCCTGCTGCCATTTATGTTCCTGTTGGCTACAATCTTGGTCAAGCGTTTGTTGTTGATCGGAGGGTGTGATGGCACACCTGGGGGCGCGGGTTCGGCCGTGCCAGCCACCTGCGCCCTCCCCCGCTTGTGGTCTTCGTGACTGTCTTGGCCCCGGGACCAGGTGGGGAGTGAAGAAGAGAGAGTGTGGTAGATGCTGCGCAAGCATACTCACACTATAAACTAACTCACGCGCAAGTCACCGTGCTTGATCTCACCGTGTTGTGGAGCACAGGGTGGACGACGTAGGCAACGACTGTCGAACGCTAATAAGGATAAACAATTCCAAGTAATTTCTCGCCAGTATGTTGCGTCAACACTTTGAATAAACTACTTTTCCAATCCACGTCGTGATTATGATTTTGTTTGAAGTATGTATTCAATCAAAACACTTAGTAAGGATTATTCATACATTGAAAACTAAAACTTTTGGTAAAGTTGGCAAACTTAGAGGATCTTATTGGTCGATCTGGGTGGCACATAATTATTGTCATTGCTGAGTGCCTCTGTAAACGGAGATTACGTTTAATGTAAAATTGACTACGTCCAATTTACAGCAAAGACTGACCTTAATGAAATGGCAGAAATAGGGGTGTTTGGAAACTGAGTTTTAAAAGCTAGTTGTGACTGTTATTGAGCATAAAGTGGGTATGTTTCACTCGGCAAAGATACTTTATACGTTTATATTTTAGACATATGTTGACCCTATTGACGGAAGTTGGGAAGTAAGGCTTGCCATGCCGGAAGCGGGACCGGATTCAAAATTGCGCGACGAAAATGTGCTTCTCGGTTCTGGTCTGGGAATCATGACGGACAGTCACGATTTTAATGGTCCTTTGGCACCTGAAACCACATTCGCGTAAGTGCCTAAGGACACGGAGTCCTCTTTTGAACTCAGGCTAATCTGCCTGTATGACGCATGCTTTTCTTAGTTGAATGATGCAGATTGGTTCAAAGCAGAAGTATTGTGGGTGTAGAATATAGACCGCATTTTAAGAGCATTTGGAAAATTTTCTCCTGAGGTTTCCTCGTGTAAGTTTATTTCTTCATATTCCTTTTCATTAAAAAATATATTTTTCAAAATTTGGACGGAAAACTGACATTTAATTAAAAAGCCTGCATTAGTTCCTGAAAAGAATGGCTTAAACGAGACATTAACCTCCAAAAATTTTAGTATGCAGAGAATTAGTCTTTTTTCAGGATTTACCTTCCTTAGCGCAGTCTTGACCGTCGAAATAGTGACTGAGTTGGTTTACATGTCAGAGATTTTTCCAGTATTTATTTGCTCTTCAAAAACAAAAATTTAATTTACACACACGGTCGCGCTGACCATATAAAACGATAATAACTTTATTCGCCAACAAAGACAACTGGCATCCCTGTTTTATTCGATATTTCAGGATCCAGTTGCGAGTTTATACAGATTTGGGCTTCGGGACTACGGCTTGGACAATACGAAAGACCGAAGGTAGTTAACTTATAAAGAAACAGGTTGTTTTAATTCATGATCAGCTGGATTTGCCACTCTAAGCTATGAGAAGTGCGAATGTGGACAGAATGCGACGGCTTCGGTATGAATTATAGCATTCATAATATGGGATCAACTAAGGATGGATGTGCGTAGTATAGTACGTGAAAGGGATTAGAGCATTTGTATTCCTGCAAGGATCAGTAAGTATAAAGTTGTCCTATGGCCTACCAACCACTTAGCTTTTTGCGCTAGCTGTTGCCAACTTCATTAAGATTTTTTGTTCGACTTCAGGCAAAGAAACAGGTTTGAAGGCCAGCGGAGGTCTATTTGCCGTGTCTGTAATCTTCGCGGTACTTTGCGCGGTTTTGATTAGTCTCCTCACTACTCTGCTTTCAAGCCTTCGCAGTGTGGAGCTTCAACTGGCAAAACGACCGACAGATGATTCGGACGATAAGTAAGCAATTTACCAAAAGTCCCCCGTGTAATTAAAAATACGAACTTCACATTGTTTTTGCGAAATGTCAAAAAGATGTCTGGTCTATCATAACGAGTGTGATAGAAGAGAAGGAGTGCGGGTTCGGGAAACAAGCAAGTTATTCTATGTTGGCGGAGAAAGCGAATATCATAAATCATCAGCTCTCACCTATTTATTGGAATTCTAGCCGTTCTCGAAACTTCCGGTCGATGAAGTGACAACCAGGGTAGAATTCTGGAATACTATGGACTATGGCGCGCCGCACGATGATTGGCCACTTACCAGGCTGGAAGCCCCTCACGGAGTCTTCTCGAATATTTGGGTCGCGCACGCGGGCAAGGGCTTCACCCGCTTTTGACGCAATGGCTAACGCTGATTGGCTGACTGGTCTTAAGCGTGTATTTCCCACTCAGTTGGCCTACTGCGACGCGCGTGGTCACGTGTTCGTTTCGCTTGAGACCGCGATTCCATTGTAATTTGCGTCTCCGTAACAATGCCCAGGCAGACTATTCATGAAGTCTCAAACACAGAGCGCATTTGAAATTCGTGTTTGGTTTAACTACAATTATAAAAACAACAAAATCCAAAACGACGATTTGTATGTCTGGGATTTCTTAGTTCCACTTTTCAGAAGAAGAAGATGTGATCACTCGAATAAGACGTTTAGTGACCTGACGTTTCGGATTCCCACTCAGACTCATCATCGGAGGCAGTAGCAAATAAAGGTAGTAGACTGCCTCTGATGACGTGTTCGAGGTAGAGTCCGAAACGTCAAGCTAATAAAATTCTTGTTCCAGTGATCGTATCTTCTTCTTCTTTTTCTTATTTTGAACTGCTTCCTGAAACTCGCCTGCTCGATACTATTGGCAGATCCACTTTTATTTGCTCACTAACCACATGAGTCAGGCAATCCCGTAATATATCTCTATCTACACAGGTTGCAAAACAGTCGACAATGTCTTGTCTTCGCAAATTGATTTTGCTAGTTTGTGGGCGGTGGATTCTCCGCTGTGCTATCGACCGGGGATGCTTTGGCGAAAGAGATCAACTGTTGTTCTACTTACAGGTAGACCAAAGATATGATCATTGATGGAATGAATATATAAAGGCAAAAGAGCACATGCGAACGAAGTGATCTTAAACGCACACAAGTCAAACCTCAGTGAACATAGACGAAATACTCATTATTTAGGCTGCAACACATTTGCCCCGGCAAAATACATCGTGCCCAATAAACCAAGGAACATGTCAGTCACTGTAACTAGCATTTTATAAAATGAAATTGGTGGTCAAGGCTTTCGAATCGTTAACTTAACTTGACTTTTATGTGTTCGTTTCAGGATGTTTCAAGTAAACAAATTTTGCCCTGACATCTGCAACAATTATTCCTTTTTAGGGCGAGCGAACTTTAAGCTCAGTCAGTCAACAGGGTAATTATATTTTGCTTCAAATTCGTTTTTAAACGGAATTATTTCAATCGCACAAATATTTCTATTTAAACTAAAATCGAATCTGAAATACTGACTGATGGCCTGGCAGGGATAAATGATACGTACACAAAGCAAGACACTTGTGAAAATAATGATATTCGCATACCTTGAAGGTAACTTTTGCTTCGTGTTGCCTACGACGCAATTCGCCAAACTGGCTGGACTGTCTACAATTTCATGTTATTTTTTGACTGTTTTCATTGATATGAGATTTTCTGTTTAAAGTGCCCCGCTCTTGCAATAAACGAAACCTGTTGAGAAGATTATTGTGAAGACATGGAGTCTTGCACGCCAACGATAAAAAAGCCTTACAAGAATGCTGAAGTGTAGGAACTTGTCATACTGACTGGTTTTCTGAAAACAGTCCAATATATATAACGAGCATGTTCCGTAACCTGATCGGCGAGCGCCCACTGTCATATATATATATATATGGATATAGGCAAAAAATGCTGTACCCAGGTGTTAATATGGAAGAGGAGGATGAGGCGATCTCTGGGGAAGATCGCCAGAGATCGCCTCATCCTCCTCTTCCATATATATATATTACATGAGCAGCTTATATACATGCTTATATATATATATAGTGGTAGAGGGCGCTCACCGATCGTTCATACGGAACTCATTCGTTCCGTTGTGCCTTATGGACTCTCTCTCGAGCCCAACCAGCAGCCGCACAGCGGCGCATGATATATAGGCAGAACGGCATTACCGACAAAGACAAGGGAGACTGGAATGGCCATTTCTGGCTTATTAGCCGTCGTCAGCCAGCCAAACCCAAGCCCGAAGTGTGGAACACCGGAGCCTCGAACTCGCGACCTGTTGGTTTAGAAGTCCACGCCTCTACCCACCGGACCACGAGCCCGTTGCCCTGTCGGTTTTCGATCAGGAATATACAGTG